CTCCTTCTTCTCTGCTGCCAACTGCTTTCTCTCTACATTTCCACGCCTGATCGCCTGAATCTTTGTAGCTGCTTCCTCCCGCTGCTGCTTCTCTTCGGCCAGCTGTTTCCGAGCTGCATTGCCACGATAGATTGCTTGCACCTTCGTGGCTGCCTCTTCTTGCTCCTTCTTCTCTGCTGCCACCTGCTTTCTCTCTACATTTCCACGTCTGATCGCCTGAATCTTTGTAGCTGCTTCCTCCCGCTGCTGCTTCTCTTCGGCCAGCTGTTTCCGAGCTGCATTGCCGCGATAGATTGCTTGCACCTTCGTGGCTGCCTCTTCTTGCTCCTTCTTCTCTGCTGCCACCTGCATTCTCTCTACATTTCCACGCCTGATCGCCTGAATCTTTGTAGCTGCTTCCTCCCGCTGCTGCTTCTCTGCGGCCAGCTGTTTCCGAGCTGCATTGCCACGATAGATTGCTTGCACCTTCGTGGCTGCCTCTTCTTGCTCCTTCTTCTCTGCTGCCACCTGCTTTCTCTCGACGTTTCCACGCCTGATCGCCTGAATCTTTGTAGCTGCTTCCTCTCGTTTCTGCTTCTCCTCGGCCAGTTGCCTCCTGGTCCTCTTGCCACGGAAGACTGCCTGTGCTTTCGTAGCTGCCTGCACGAGTTCCGTCTTCTTGCCTTCTACTCGCTGTCTCTCCAATTTTCCTCGGCGTATGGCTTGAATTTTTGTGGCTGCTTCTTCTCTTTTGCTCTTAAGCTCTGTCACCTGTCTTCTCGCGACCTGCAGCTTAAGTGAGGAAGGACTGACCGAAGCAAGTACTGTGACAATCTTTAGACCTTGAGAGAACATGACTCACTGCCTGCTGCGCAACTGCGCAACCCGAGGAGTCTGTGCGGCCCCCCAAGAGCGCAGCCCAGAGCATGTCATCACTGCATCGCCCGCATCATGAGGACCCCAAGAGGGGAGGGGGTAGGGTGTACTTATCACCACCACCGTCGCCTTCCGCACCATCTTCTGCCTTCGCACGTACAGAGCAACTATCATGGGCGTTCTCCTGCTTGTTCTTCCTTCCGCCTCAGCCTGCCCTGCCCCTCTGCAAAAAATCCTCCGGTCTCGAGCACGCCTTGCCACGGAAGGCCGCCTGCACTTTGATAGATGCCTTCGTCTCCTCGCTGGGATCTCTTGTCGCTGCAACTCAGCTTCAACTGGGTGCTACGCACTTGGGTCATCTTGTGGCACTATCTGCTGCGTTTCAGCAGAACTCGTGACATCCAACTCCTTTCCAGAACCTCTGACCTTCCCTCTAGCTGTGTTGTGTCCCATGCAGTCCTACAGTAAGGATACCGAGGACCCTGAAGCCCTGGGAGCCTAAACCCTGCACATCCCCGCCTCAGAAGATTGAAACGCAGAAAACTCGAACAACCCTAAGCCGTCCTCAACCCCCACACCCCAAAACCCAAGCACCCTGCCCGCGCCCTCTGCCCTAAACCCGGCCTCCTCCCGCCTTCGGCGCAGGGCTGCGAAGCCGCGCCGGGCCTGGCGGCCACGGAAAGCCGACGCCAACGTCGTGGCCACCGCCGCCTCCACTGATCCAAGGAGGGCTGATGGATAGTTGTGTAGATAGGATGTGGCTCTTTCGGATTTAGGGTCAAGGGCTCAGGGTCTGTAGTGGTGAACCGGGTTGAGGAGGCTGGAGCGTGGGGCTCATGCAGCACTGGCGACTGCAGCCCTCCTGAAACCGAGCCGGAAGCCAAAGCCCTCAAGCCCATGAAATCCTCTTCGGATCTCTACCCTCAAGGAGAAGCAGAGCAAAAACAAGGTAGACGGTGACAAAGACTCATGAAGCGCAACACGCTCAAGCCCTTCATGCGGGCGTAACCCTGACCGCCCTAACCCCTCAACCACGAAAGCCGAGACTTGACGCTTCCCTACTGCGCTGCCTTGCGCCTATCCGCCTCCTCGGCCCGTTGGCGACGCCATGCCTTCAGGAGACGGGGTGTGCTTTTGTGCATCTATCTAACTATCTATCTATCTATCTATCTATCTATCTGTATCTATATCTATATCTATATCTGATTCTATATCTATATCTGTATCTATGTTTGGGTGCCCGATCACTTCTGTCTTTTTTTTGGGTTCGCTTGTGT